CCTGCTAGCTACTTTTTCCCCTCTGAGTAAGTGGTGCTGGGAGGTTTCTAGTTGACAACTCCAGCTGGAGTAGCCCCTTGCTTTACTGCTAGGTCTTCCAGTATTTGTTTTTAAGAATGATTCTCAGAGCTGAACAGGGCCCTCTGACCTCTCCCAGCCCTGGTCTCCTTCATGGGGGGATGCAGCCGGCTGGAGCCAGCCCCCAGTACCTCTGTTCCTGCAGAGAGGCTGTGCGGCTGCTCTTGGGTTTGGGCTTCTGCGCTGGGGGAGAGGGATGGGGAAGGCTGTCTGGTATGCTATTTACTTCTTGCTTTTTCACTGATGAAGTGGGGGAGTGGATGGGGGAGGAGAGTCTGTCTTCATCACCCCTCCACGACAGGTTGAGGCAGTGACCACTAGGTCATTTCTCAACGGGTTTGTGCTGGCTTGGTCCTGGGAGAGTGCATCCCAGGCTGGAGCGATGGGGGATTGCGGTAGCATGCCCCAGAGTTGAGTTTCAGAGGCTTTGGTGGTGTGTTCTTGTGTCGTGATGGCACTAGTGAGAGAGCTGGAGGCATGATGTCCGTGTGTCTGACCTAACGAGGCAGGGATTCGTAGGGGGGCTCCAGGCAGTGGGACTCTTCAGAGGTTAAGAAAATAAGGGGGTTAAGACAAGATTTAATAGAGGGCACTTGAATTCATGGCCAGGAAGGCCCAGCTTTTTGCTGAGCAAAGTCACTTGACACAGGTTCTCTCGAGTTTGGTGAACTTCTCCCAGGTTCCCCAAACCACAGGTCATCCCAGCTTCATCCGCAGCCAGTGAGTTGAGAATAATGTTTCCTAAAGCAACTAAGTGATCTACAAGCTGAAAACACACTGGTAAAATCCATAGGTGTTTGTCAGCCACGTAAGACCTTTTGGAAACATTATTCGCAGCATTTTGAACTGTTGAACTGCCCAAAACTCAAGAGTTGGCAGAGCCTGCAAGCCTCCCGGGCAGGAGGGTGCTGTGGCAGCTGCTGGACTTGCATTTGCTTTCCCTGCTGCCCCATCCTGAAACTCAACTGCCTTTAACACCCTCCTTACCTGCTTTCCACCTTACTAACGCTGGTGAGCACTCTGTTTGTGTCCACCCTGTGTTGCAGACGGAGCAAGGCACAATCCTGCTACAGAGAGGTTGTAGCTGATGTCGCTGTGCTCACAGATCCTCCTGGAGAGCCAAGATCTGTGCATATGGAGCCGCTCGCTTCACTGGGCTGGCGTCAGTAGGCAAACACTGGTGGAGCTGGGTGGACGATAAAGTGAGTTTTAAGCAGTACTGAAAAGCAGAAGAGAGTGCCAAGAATCCCAGCCCGTGCTGGGAGTAAAAGACTCCCTTTGCTTTCCCAGTGCGCTGGATCAGGTCCTGAAGCTAGGGAGTGGCAGCAGGTGAGGGGCAAACCTGAGGGTGGCAAGAGGACCAGGTCAGCACCAGCTATGACCCCAGGCCAGGCAAAACAGATGGCAACACCCTGGGTCCCCAAAATGCACTATAATCCTGCCAGCAGTACCAGTGGGGCCAAGGTAGTTCCCGAGAAAGGTCTTTGGGCAGTGGGTGAATAGATGGTTATGCCCGGTGAAATGCATATGCATCATACCCAATATTGAATTCACCACGAGCTTCAGAGGCACAGGTGAGGAAAAGGTCCCAAGGTGAGCTGTGGGAGGCCAGTGAGCTCGTAGCCTGCGGATGTCCCCTGTCCCCACCTGCTGCAGCTGATCGGTTTGGTTTTATGACCATGCCTCACACCTTGGTGGGGGCTGGCCTGGGCAGTGGGGACAGGCCTGGGCACGCTGCCACGCGTGTGTTGTCCCCTGCAACCCCAGATGCGACAAATGCTGCTCCCAAAGCTTGCTTCTGCCTGCTTGTAGTCTTCACCTGCAGCCCTGCATCTGGATGCTTAAGGACATCTTTTGCAGACTGGCTAGAGAACAGTAGCATGTTACTGAAAAAAAAAAATCATCAATAGGTACTCCAAAATCAGCAGATACTCAGCACCTCTCCAGAGAGCCCCAGTTTCACACCAGTTAAGTGCCCAGAGCTCCTCCAAGTCCTGCTACATCATTTCCCAGCTTCAGGATTTCTCCAGTGTGGCGTGACAGAGACATCCTCTCGGGTACCTGCTAATTAGACCTGATGCAGGGGGGAAGCCCAGCATGGGGCTGGCGGCAGGTTTTGAATGTCTTCGGTGTCGGATTGAAGCGGGACGTGCAGCGCGGCCCCAGAACAAGCCATCGGGCCACAGTTCTGGGCGTGCAATGCCTTACACCACCTGCATCGTAGCCTCTGCAGTAATCCAAGGCTGGGCCGGTGTCTGTCCTCGAGCAGGCAGGAGACTGCTGGCTGGGGAAAGAGCATGGCCCAAAACGATGCCCTGAGTGACAGACCTTGGGGTAGGCTGGGGGGGCGGTTCATCATGGGCTTCCGTCTCCTCCCCTTGTTCTTTTATTTGCATTTTTAAACAAAGTCTAACCGCGTGACTGGTTTGGTTGGTTTTTTTTTTTTTTATCTAATTTGCTGTCAGAATTACTGTCTCATCATAGAAAATTGAAAAGAAAATACAGTATTTCCCCCCCTTAACTCTGAGAGTGGTCTTTCCTTAAGCAGTTTCAGGTGCCAGGCTCTATTTCACTGTCCAGAGACTCTGTCTCCCTGACCTGCTGGCCCATTACACCTGGTCGTCCACTTGGGTGGACTCCTCCATGTTTCAGAAGGGCTTCTTCCCTTCTCTCTCCTAAGGAAATACGCTAGCAGCCTGTCAGGTTTGTCTTTTTCAGTGTATTAAAAGATAACCCAGCCTTTTCAGGATGACATGACGGTGTCATCTGCCTGACCCAGCACCACTGGGGCAGCAGGCACGGCCAGCATCTCTCCTAGCCTACAGCCTTCTCCTGGGGCCATGTTTCCCTGGCTGAGTATTGCCGAGGGCGGTCTTCCAACAGGGTGCTTGAGCTGTCCCCTGGTCCTCTGGGCCAGCTAGAACAAGCTCCTGCTTGACTTGGGACATAGTATGGTCCCGTAGCAGCCAAAGCAGGACCCAGTTTCTAAGTCCAGCCTAAAAACCACTGAGATGTGGAATTTATGCTCCCAGAGCCTGGTGATGAAGAACATGTTTGTTTGGTTTTTTTCAAACTGTAGGAAAAATCCAGCCCTCTTGCCTGGCTGTGTCATTTTTAGTCACTGCTGTATGGGAGCTGGAGATGCCGATGCAGAATGAAGGCCCCATGTGCCAGGTGGAAGATAAGAGCTAATCCCTACTTTGAAAAAAGCATCATCTACATAAGCAAGGCAGATGCAGCCAAGTCCCATCCCATTTTTCTGAGCACAGATCTAAGCACATGGAGAGCTTAACCGATTTCCCCACTGGCACGTCCTGAGCCTCTGTTCCCCCAGGATGCCTTAATACCCCAATCAGCTGTTCTCCTACGCTGAAGAGGTGGATTTAACCCAAAAAGGCTGGCTGGGTCCTGAAAACCAATCATGCAGCCCACCGTTCCTCAATAGTCCCAAGGGGAGAACAAGTCATCCGCTGCCAAATATTTATCGACGGGAATATGAGGGCGTTGTTTCTGCCGGGAGGATTGTGCCTAAGCCTTTAATCGTGCTGTGAGTGCTGAATGTTATGTCTCAGCGGGAACAATCACAGGCTTGAGCTTGGCCAAGAGCTGGAGAAGCCAAAAGCCAGGATTGTCCACTCATGCTTTTCCAGCAGGGAGCAGAGCACACCCCACGCCCTCCGAGCAACCTGCACACAGCCCCATGTTATCTGGCCCAGCAAATCCTCAGGTTTACACCAGCCCCTCCATTTACTGCACTGTCTCTGCAGAACTCCTTGCACGTGACAATTTGATAACTCACTCTTTATTAAATGTCTCCACTGGTGCAATGAAGATAAATTTTTTCATTATAAGTCCCCTTGAGTAGTAGGACACTTGGCCCTGACCCTCAGGGGCCTGATCCTTCTCCGGCTGACTCCGCTCTAGGTCTGATGAGGGCTTCGCCAGAAGCCCACGCAGACAAGGACTTGCCCAAGGAGAGGGAGCATGAGACCCCTTGTTTATGGAGCTGACTTGCTCATCTGGTTGGCTCAGCAATTTGTTGCTTCAGGAAACTATTTTTACTCACCATCAATGACGAAGAACGTTGTTTTGGGGGCTGGTGGCTTTTTTTTTTTTTTCTTCTCTGCTCTTTCTTGGATTTATTTTTAGGTTCCTTCAGGATGGAAAAGAAGCAGAGTGCAGACTGAAAGCTTAGAGGACAGGAGAGAGAGATCAAGGGAGAGTGGGGAGATGGGATTTACCCCTCCAAGCCTCAGGCCACCTTACTGCTTATGGGACTTAGCAACCCCTTGAGGAATCTTATAAAGGGAATAGGAAAGAGCATTCAGGAGGTTGTGGGCTCTCTCCTTCAGAAAAAAATAGGGACAGGTCCTGCTAATGGTTTTCTGGAGAGCTGGAGTAGGATTTGAGGTGGAAGACTTTCTCACGGGTCTTACAGCACTTGATTATGCTACAGCCCACATGTCTTTAACACGATTACATGAGAATTGCTTTGGGGCAGGAAACATCTTTCTGTTCTGTTCATCCCTTGCTTAGCACAAGGGGATGTGGGCCTTGATGCCACAGTAATACAGGAGATTATTCATACTCATCCCAGCTTTTATATGAAAGGAGAGTGGTCGTAGACCTTATGGTTGAGGGTTTGCACGCATGACCTTTAAAGGCTCCCAGAAAACAGGAGTAGTATAAAAATAATGCAGAATATTCAGGGGTTTTAGTTCCTTGTGTCATTATTTTTTAAATCAGTTCCCTAATTTTGATGGGTCACATGAATGCTGATGCTGCATATATGCCGTGGTGGTCCACAGTTATAAACCTCTCACTGCTCACACTGAGCATTGAGAAAGATGATGAATTACCAACCCAAAGACTTCCAAAAGTGCTCTGCAAACTGTAGGGTTCATCATGTACCCGGAGAAGAGAAAAAACAGCCATCCAACCTCCCTGACCTTTCAGTCCTATTCACCCGAGGGAAGGCACCCGCCTCTGTTGATCCCACATTCCCCTACACCACCCTGCTGCATCCCCTTGCCTCTTCCAGGCCCTCTTTTTGACCTCTCTTTTTCCCTCCTCAACCTCCATCCCTGCCTGACATTAGGAAGAGGAGCAGCCCTGCCTACGCAGCTTCAGGCTCCTCCGTAGCTCCTACGGCAGACAGCAATCTGCATCCGAGGGGTTTTGTTGCTCCCGAGCCTGTGGGAAGGATACTCTGCACAGCTGCGGACTGCCCAGGTTTGTCCAAGCCCTCCGGAAAAGCTGATGACAGCTGGCCGCAGCTCTGTCTCTCCTCCAAACGTCTTAATCCTGTGGGAACATCCATCTCACCCCAGTGCTGCTTCTGCTCCTTAGCAGCTTCTTGGAGAGAGACCTGGGTCTCCTCACAGGCACTAATAAAACCCTCTTTCCTTTGGCAGGACTCAGCACCACTCCAGCAGCGATAAATCCCAAACCAGAGGGCAATTTGTCCTTTTTTAACTAGTGCAGGTGCCTTCAGAGGGATTAAACTGGCCTCGTGGAAACTGGACCCCCTCCAGCCTGGGAGCGCTGTGGCCATGCTAGAAGTCCCCTCGCATCACACCAACCAGTGGGGATGAACACGAGGTGGGTGCCCCTATGCAGGAGCCAAACCTGCTTGCGAACAGCCGAATGAATTACCATCCTTATTTCTTAGCTCAGCACTTTGTGGGTAGGCTTAAGGCATTTCCAGAGGATTTCCCTTCCCCTGCAGGTACCGCTTCTGCAAACTTTTGGTTTACCCTGCCTGTTTCCAGCACTCTGGGATTTCTCTGCTCTCCTTCCCCAGCACCCCAGCCAAAGTGGCTGCTGCCTCAAGGCCACCTGCGCCCGGGCCGGGCCCTGCCGCTGAGAGGTGACACGGCATGTCCTCATGTCCTCACCCTCCTCGTGCCACAGCTGCATCCTCCTGAATAACCTGCGATCTGTCCCTGCGCGGCACCAGGTGCTCTCCAGCATCGTGTCCCTGGGGGGACGCTACCACAGCACCCTAGAATCAGGTTTTCATGCAGCTCCCAAGGCAGTTGGCAGTGGAGGGGGGGGGGAAGGGGGGGGCAACAAGCATTTCCCTGATCCTGTGCCAAGCCCTGGCACAGCCAGATCCTCCGAGGCTTATCCATCCTTCGTGACATCCCCACCTCCCTCCCCTAAAGCAGCCGTGTGCCCTGCATCCTGCTGCCAGGGTGCTCCCGCCCCTGCCCGCACTGGGATTTGCTCAGTGCTGTCAGGATTTATCTCCCTGCACACAGGATTTATCCCCTTTCCATCCATCCCCCATGACCAGAGCACTTTTTTTTGCCACAGCTCTGCTGAGCCGCCACCTCCCCTTGCCACGCTGTCCCCATGGTCCCCACATGCCCCTGCCACCCTTGCTTGAGGTTTTCACCCAGGCCCATGGGAGCAAACCCACAACCCAGGCTGCAGCGAGTACCCCACTGCAAAAGGTCTCTGTGGGTGATGCTGGGGAGAGTGGGGCCGAGCATCCCCTCCGGATGGCCACGAAGCCGCTCGGCCGGGGCACAGGAGATGCCATTCTCCAGCAGGGCGCTACCAGGATGCTCCAAGCAGGAGGTGACGTCCCCGTGGGGAGGACACGAGGAGAAGCGCTGAGACACGGAGGAGCTCTCCTGCGTGGAGCATGTTCGGGGAGGGGAGGGAGGGGGCTGCAGGCTGACCTTCCCAGCCCCTGACTCCCCCCCTGCCCACCCCTA